CAGGATCGTGGTGTTGTCAGCAGCCGTGCTGCAGCTTTCTGGACTAGCTCCAGTTTCCAGGTCAAGCGCAAGGGAATCCCTAGGCGGAGCACATTATGGCAATCCATGCTTGAGAAACCAATGAAAAACACAGAGGAAGTAGCATCTATGTGAAGGGTGGGGAGGGGGAAATGTTCTGACTCAGGCACATGATGGGGGGAAAACCCCACTGCAATGCGTCCGGTAACAAAATGACGACAGTTTGGCGCCGGATTGTCAAGATCGTCCCTGGATACGGGAAATCCAAATTTACTGCTGAAAAGAAGTTAGAGGGGTCCTTAACTGGACGGAGCCAATTAACTGAGATATGAGGAGCTTCTAATCTACAGGAAATTTGAATTATGGTGCTGGAGGAGACTCTTGAGAGTCCCATGGACTGCAAGAAGATCAAACGCATCCATTCTGAAGGAAATCAGCCCTGAGTGCTCACTGGAAGGACAGATTGTGAAGCTGAGGCTCCAGTACTTTGGCCACCTCATGAGAAGACAAGACTCCCTGGAAAAGACCCTGATGCTGGGAAAGATGGAGGGCACAAGGAGAAGGGGACGACAGAGGACGAGATGGTTGGACAGTGTTCTCGAAGCTACCAGAATGAGTTTGACCAAACTGCGGGAGACAGTGGAAGACAGGAGTGCCTGGCGTGCTCTGGTCCATGGGGTCACGAAGAGGCGGACACAACTAAACGACTAAACAACAACAAAATCTACAGGGAACACCAGGGTGGCTGAGACCATGATGGTTCAATGAGAGGCTGGTTCTACTGCCAATTTGGCCCATCCTTTGACATGGTAACTGCCTTGAATATTAGGCATCTGGGAAAGTCTGCACTCAGAAGCAGCAGAGGCTAGTCTATCAGGATGACGGACACATTGGCACACCAACCTCAGCCAGCCGCCGCCACCACAAGCCTGCCTGCCTGCCTTCTTAGCAAACCTGCCCACTTCCTCCTCCTTAGTTTCAGTTTTGCCTTTGCAGAACTCAGCAGGGAGGAAGAGGGGGGCAGAACAAGAATCAGGTGGTGCTGCCTGTCGTTGGCTATGGCTCCACCTACTGGTGGCCTCCCTGCTTGTCACCCTACCAGTCCCAATGGGCGCCACAGATTGGCAGAAGGAGCAGGAGGACCCCTAACTCAGCACAGCTGGCTTATCACTTTTTTCAAAGTAACTGAAATAATGTGTGTTACCATCTAAAGCATGGGTAGGCAAACTAAGGCCCGGGGGCCGGATCCGGCCCAATCGCCTTCTAAATCTGGCCGGCAGATGGTCTGGGAATCAGCATGTTTTTACATGAGTAGAATGTGTGCTTTTATTTAAAATGCATCTCTGGGTTATTTGTGGGGCATAGGAATTCGTTCATTATTTTTTTCTTCAAAATATAGTCCGGCCCCCCACAAGGTCTGAGGGACAGTGGACTAACCCCCTGCTTAAAAAGTTTGCTGACCCTTGATCTAAAGAGCCCCTCCGTAAGACCGTTACGCCCAAGTCTAAAATGACTTGAACACACCTCTCTCTCTCTCTCTCTCTCTGTGTGTGTGTGTGTGTACATGATGGTGGCTAGAGGGTTATTTTCAGTGGGGAAAGATATCAGAGAAAGGGTTAAGCACACACACCTCATCACTGCTTCTCCACTGCAATATATATTTTATCAGCCGCTTTAGTTTCCCCACCAACACTTTGTAAGCTTGTTGTAAGTATTAATTAAGCTTTGAAGGTATGGTGGGGGGTTTTCCATGCTTTTTGTTTGCAGTTAATGGTCCGGTCTCAGCTGCCCTGAGCCCCCATCAGGTTGTGTGGCAGCTGATAGCTATCAAACATGAATGGGAATAGTTAATGAGACTGTAATCTTTAAACTTGTTTCTCGTGTGCACAGTTCTTTTTTGTTTTTCACCAATAACTGAACTTTACGTTTCTTCTTGGCCTGTTTACGCCTCCCTGGCTTCTCCTTTTCATGTGTCAGACCTCTATTTCAACAAGTGCACATGTCCAGTATGTGGCCCAACTGTTTGTGTGTTTGCAAAATTTCATGGGGCCAGAGAGCGTGTTAAAGGTAGCAGTGGGATGCTGTGGGGGTGTTCCGTGCGCAGGATGTTTATGCCGGGACAAGGGCATATTTGTGTTGCTGCAGTTGCTTGTTTATTTCATGCTCTCGGAGGGTGTGTGTCAGAGAGAAGCTACATTTGGCAAAAGAATCTTTATGTGGGGGAGACCAAAATGACATATTATGGGGGGTGCATGGCCAAATCCACCCCCTGTTGCTTCCTCATACCTTCCTGGTAAAGTGATGGTCTTTGGAAAACATCACCAATTTTACCTACTTTGAGGATTGTTATTTACTCATTCTTCACCTCAAGGTCCTCGGGTGGCGCTGTGGTCTAAACCACTGAGCCTCTTGGGCTTGCCGGTCAGAAGGTCGGCGGTTCGAATCCCTGCGACGGGGTGAGCTCCCGTTGCTCTGTCCCAGCTCCTGCCAACCTAGCAGTTCAAAAGCACACCAGCATGGGTAGATAAATAGGTACCACTGCGGTGGGAAGGTAAACGGCATTTCTGTGCGCTCTGGTTTCTGTCATGGTGTCCCGTTGCGCAAGAAGCGGTTTAGTCATGCTGGTCACAGGACCCGTTTCACCTGAAAGCAAGATGAGCACCGCACCCCATAGTCGCCTTTGACTGGACTTAACCATCCAGGGTCCTTTACCTTTACCTTTTACCTTAAAATACAACAAACATATTGTTAGGTTCGACCCCAATCTCTGAGCGGTGAAAGATTCCAGAGGTTCCAGTCGCTTACCCAAGATTCATGTTTCCTTTGGAATGAGGTACAGTAGACTGCTGTGTCTTTATGATGTATGGTTTATTTACATATACAGTGGTACCTCGGTTTACGAACTTAATCCATTCCAGAAGTCCATTCTTAAACCAAAACCATTCTTAAACCGAGGGGCGCATTCCCTAATGAGGCCTCCCGCCGCCAGTGCCCTTCCACCATTCAGATTCCGTTCTTAGACTGAGGTAAAGTTTGCAAACCGGGACACTACTTCTGGTTTTGCCGAGTCCGTAAACTGAATCGTTCGTAAACAGGACTGTTCTTAAACTGAGGTACCACTGTATCTATGTACAACCTGAGCCTATGACAGAGGGGTTCACAGCATTAACACCGCAAGAGAGTCTTGCTTCATCCGTAGCTGCAGCCTTGGATTCAGACAGAAATCAAGCATCCCTCTGATTCTCTGGTTTCCCAGCCTGTTGCTTCTAGCGCACATTGTTCCTTTGTTCCCTTAATAGCCTAGTACCGAGCTATCACCTCACCAGGAAACCAGCCTGGCTGTTCAAAGCACCCAGGCATTAGAAGGCTCTTACCAAGAAAAAAGCACACCAAGAACTCTGGCCAATATAAGTTTCAATAGTGGGAGTGGTCCGTACTTGCAAATCAATAGTCAATTGTAACAAAAACTAATCCATTCAAAAGTATGTATTCTGACAAGGATTACAAGCTCAAACAGAGATTACAAACTCCAACTCATAAGGACACACAATAAAACACAATAATTCGTTACAGTATTAAAGATAAGAGTTTATGAGTAGAGATAAGTTCATGTTAGTCCATAGTAAGATTTGACGTGAAGGTCTTAGTTTCAATCATTGAGCAGAAGTCAGAAGTCAGTTACGGATCAGAAACCAGGACAGGAACCTGTTTCGATGTACAGTGGTACCTCGGATTACATACGCTTCAGGTTACATAAGCTTCAGGTTACAGACTCCGCTAACCCAGAAATATTACCTCGGGTGAAGAACTTTACTTCAGGATGAGAACAGAAATCGCGCAGCAGCAGCAGGAGGCCCCATTAGCTAAAGTGATGCTTCAGGTTAAGAACAGTTTCGGGTTAAGAACGGACCTCCGGAACGAATTAAGTACTTAACCCGAGGTACCACTGTATTCACCTTCATCAGCTGGAAGTATCAAACATTACATGAAAATACATTTAAATTATAAATTATTATAAAACAGTATTATACAACATTTGGCTCCTTAGAAGGATTAGAAGGATCTTGGCATACAGCCCAGTCTCCCCTCCCCAAACTCAGGACAATATTTTAAGAGCGTGTAAGAAGTGTGCTCTCCTTCAGTCCCTACACAGGCTTTCAACCTGAACCCAGGCCCTGTGCAGGATCCCCATCTTCACCTTCGAAGCCTTCCTTGCCTCTCCCCTGCCCTTATTTCTCTCTGTCCTCAACTTACGGCTGTCTGTGACCTTCAGCACCTCCACCTCCAATCCCGTCCGTCATCCAAAGGTCTTCTGCTCTTTCCTGCTCTTTTCCATACCTGGAACTGCCTCTTAGAACATCTTTGTGAGGTCTTCTCCTGCCTTCGTAGCCATAGAATCATAGAATTGCAGAGTTGGATGGGGCCTCCAGGGGTCATCCAGTCCAACCCCCGGCAATGCAGGAATCTTTCATTGTCCATTCAGTGTGTGGGGGGAGACAGCAGTCTTGTGGCACCCTGAATACCAACACAGTCATTTATTGTGGTGCTGTGGATTAAACCACAGAGCCTAGGACTTGCCAATCAGAAGGTCTGCGGTTTGAATCCCTGTGACGGGGTGAGCTCCTGTTGCTCTGTCTCTGCTCCTGCCCACCTAGCAGTTCAAAAGCACATCAAAGTGCAAGTAGATAAATAGGTACCGCTGCGGCGGGAAGGTAAACGCCGTTTCTGTGCGCTGCTCTGGTTCACCAGAAGCAGCTTAGTCATGCTGGCCACATGACCCGGAAGCTGTACGCCAGCTCCCTCGGCCAATAAAGCGAGATGAGCGCCGCAACCCCAGAGTCGGTCACGACTGGACCTAATGGTCAGGGGTCCCTTTACCTTTACCTTTAAGCTTTCATAGAATCATAGAACTGTAGAGTTGGAAGGGACCCAATGGATCATCTTGTCCAACTCCCCGTGGTGCAGGAATCTCAGCTAAATATGTCAGCTGGATAAGCTCCGTTGGTTAGAGTGTGGTGCTGATAATGTCAAGGTTGTGGGTTCAATCCCCGTTTGGGACAGCTGCTTATTCTTTTCTCTTTTTTAAAAATGTTTTTATTTATTTGGTTTTTCAAATTAAAATTTTACAGTCACATATATCATACAACATAAAAACGAGATTCCAAGGAATCACTTGGACTTCCCTCCTCCCCTTTGTGGGTCCTATTGTTAATCATTTCCTCCTGCATCCTTTATGACAGGGGTAGGCAACCTAAGGCCCGGGGGCCGGATGCGGCCCAATCGCCTTCTCAATCCAGCCCCCGGACAGTCCAGGACTCAGCGTGTGTTTACATGAGTAGAATGTCTCCTTTTATTTAAAATACATCTCTGGGTTATTTGTGGGGCATAGGAATTCATTCATATATTTTTTCAAAATATAGTTCAGCCCACCACATGGTCTGAGGGACGGTGGACCAGCCCCCTGCTGAAAAAGGTTGCTGACCCCTGCTTTATGATAATCCAAAATCTTTTACCCTCCATTGTGTCCAAAATTCACCATTAAACTACAAGTGATATTCCAATCCTACCAACGATTTTAACTGTTTACAATGGTTTTTAAGATAAGTTATAAATTTTCACCATTCCTTATTAAAATTTTGATCTACCAGGCAAATCAGGGACAGCTGCGTATTCCTGTATTGCAGCGGGTTGGACCAGATGATCCTCAGGGCCCCTTCTAACTCTGTTGTTGTTGTTGTTGTTGTTGTTGTTTAGTCGTTTAGTCATGTCCAACTCTTCGTTACCCCATGGACCAGAGCACGCTAGGCACTCCTGTCTTCCACTGCCTCCCGCAGTTTGGTCAGACTCATGTTTGAAGCTTTGAGAACACTGTCCAACCACCTCGTCCTCTGTCGTCCCCTTCTCCTTGTGCCCTCCATCTTTCCCAACATCAGGGTCTTTTCCAGGGAGTCTTCTCTTCTCATGAGGTGGCCAAAGTATTGGAGCCTCAGCTTCAGGACCTGTCCTTCCAGTGAGCACTCAGGGCTGATTTCCTTCAGAATGGATAGGTTTGATCTTCTTGCAGTCCATGGGACTCTCAAGAGTCTCCTCCAGCACCAGAATTCGAAAGCATCCATGACAGAACCCCTGTCCACTTCTATCTGTTCAAGTGGACCCCAGAGCACAAACAACAACAACACCTGTCTGTGTGTGCATGTGTGCAGATGTTGTGCTGCATAGATTATAAAAGTCACTGGCCTCTTTGTGTATTTCTTTTTTCCCCCTTTCTGTTTTTTTTTAAATCTTGATGAAACATTCAACACATACCGTATTTACACAACAATTTCCCATATTACAGTTTAAGTACGAACACTGCACAATAAAAAGAAAAATACAACAAAAAATAAATAAAAAGGAAAAGGAAATAAAAAATGAAAGTAAGAAGGATAATATAAACTTCTGATTGTTCTCAAAAAACTAAGTCCCATTTGTTGTTCTTTACACAGTATCATATTATTATACTTTGTTTCCTTAATTTCCTTCAGAGAAATATTTTTTAGTTTGTTGTCTGTGCATTACAAGAATCATTTAAGGTCTGCCAGGAGGTTCTTGCTATCATAATAGGTTTTCAAATATTCTTTAAATACTAGCCATTCTTTATTCGCCTTCTGCAATGGCCTATTTGTGTATTTCAAAGGCCAGGGTAGGATCTGTGCAGTGCTGGATTTACATATAAGCTAAATAAGCTATAGCTTAGGGCCCCACTCTCTTGGGGGCCCCCAAAAAAATTAAAGAAAAAAACTGGATGTACATTTCCAAAATATAAGACAAAAAACAAATAAAATAAAACCTATATACAGCAACAGTGTTTTGTGTTGTGTAGGCTCCTATGATGCAAGTAATGGGCCCCGCCTGCTACCTAAAATGTCACTATCACTATTAATATACTTCTTAATTGTATTTCACCATTAATATACTTGAGGGACGCGGGTGGCGCTGTGGGTTAAACCACAGAGGCTAGGGCTTGCCGATCAGAAGGTTGGTGGTTCGAATCCCTGTGACGGGGTGAGCTCCCGTTGCTCGGTCCCTGCTCCTGCCAACCTAGCAGTTCAAAAGCACGAAGTGCAAGTACAGTGGTACCTCAGGTTAAGTACTTAATTCGTTCCGGAGGTCTGTTCTTAACCTGAAGCACCACTTTAGCTAATGGGGCCTCCTGCTGCTGCTGTGCCGCCGGAGCACGATTTCTGTTCTCATCCTGACGCAAAGTTCTTAACCTGAAGCACGATTTCTGGGTTAGCGGAGTCTGTAACCTGAAGCGTATGTAACCTGAAGCGTATGCAACCTGAGGTACCACTGTAGATAAATTGGTACTGCTCTGGCGGGAAGGTAAACGGCGTTTCCATGCACTGCTCTGTTTCGCCAGAAGTGGCTTAGTCATGCTGGCCACATGACCTGGAAGCTGTACGCCGGCTCCTTCGGCCAATAAAGCGAGATGAGCGCCGCAACCTCAGAGTCGTCCGCGACTGGACCTAACGGTCTGGCGTCCCTTTACCTTTACCTATTAATATACTTCTTCTTAATCGTATTTAAGTTCAACAACTACTTTGATAAAATACATATTTTGTTATGTGCAAATGGCTTTAGATACCTATCAGGTCCATAAATTACCATACAGCCTATATTCAACACAAAAAACAGTGACAATTTGTTGTTGACAAAGGACAGCTGGACATATAACGGGCCCCATTACCTTCAGTAGCTTAGGGCCTCATCAAACCTCAATCCGGCCCTGGATGTGTGCATCCATATAGGCAGCGAGCTATTAAATGAGGAAAGGGCACTGGCGCGCTTGTTTGTTTTCAGCCTATATCGCTCTGCTCTTTGCAAATTACGCAATCCTGCCATTCCTCCCTCCGTTTTCACTCTCTCTCTCTCTCTCTCTCAGTTTGCGTGCCATTGCCTCACATTTCCTCCCGGGCGCTCAGCCAGCTCTGCACTTTGGAAGGTCTGGATTTTCCGGGCTGAGCTGTCCGCTGAGCATCAGGCCGCCTCGGCCAATCGGGTGGCGGCGGGGGCGTGGCCTCTGCCATTCATAAAAGCTCCTGCCCGGCTGGCGCTTTAGTCAATCTGACAAAAACTCGCTTCGCTCCGCGTTCGCTCTCGCTGCATGAATACCTTGTACGGCGCGACTGCGACGATGTGCTACGCTTGCACGCCAGCTCTGCCCGCCCTTAAGATGGTCCCCGGCCCCGGCAGGCCTGAGCCCACCGGGCCCCAATACTTCACTTTCGATCCTCTCCCGGAAGCCGGCGAAAGCCCGGCTCCCAGGAACCTCTCCAAATCGAACAGGATCAAGAAGCGATCCCGGAGGGTGCTTTATCCCCGAGTGGTAAGTGAACGCACCCACGCCCAGCAGGGGAGCTCGGATTCCTGGGTTCATCTGGAAGGGGGAGGGGGTTTTCCTGAGGGGCAGAGAAACGGGACCCCTCTTAACAGAGTGATCCTATGCACATTTACTCAAGAAGTAAGCCTACTGAGTTCAGTGGGACCTTTTTCCCCAAGTAAGAGAGCGCAGGGTGGCAGCTTTGGGGGAGATCAGCAGATTCTCCCAATCCAGGTTTCTAATAAGAAGGAAGGAGGGAAGGAAGAGGACCTAAATAAGGTTTTGCAAGCACCCTACATTTAAAGAACACCCCCTGAGAATTCTGGGAACTTTAGTTTGCCCCTCACAGAGCTACAATTCCCAGCACACTTTTTTTAAAAACAACACCACAGTTCCCAGGATTCTTTGTGTAGAGGCAGAATGTGTTTTCTGTGTATGGTACGTGTTTCATAATATCCAGTCCTAGTTCCCACTCAGGCAGGCCTCCTGAGATTTGCCAAAAGTTGCACAGCTGACTAAAACCCCACGGGCAAAACTTTCCCTATCCTTGCATCTATCTGCAAGGTAAGGTGGCCAGCTCTTGGATTTACGTTATGCATCTGCCAGGAACGCATGACCTTTGCCAAAAAAAGGGGGCGGGGAGTGGATGAAGGGGGAAAACCCAAAGAGCTTTGCCAGCAGGGAAGATGGCAATCCAGTCAACATGCTAAAACAGGTACAGAGGCAGGATTTGTTCACAGATAAACATCCCATGTTACCTGCTTCAACATGTTGTAGGATCCTCCCCTCCCCACTGAATCAATGGGGGGAGAGTTCCCTCTCCTCCTTAGGGTTTGGGAGCAAGGACTCTCCCTAGTGGAGCAGAGCCAAGATTTGTTTGGGGTCCCCCCCCCCTTGAATTTTGATCTGAGGAAGGGTGGTTGTGAATTGGTTGGTGGAGCTAAGTAACTGCATAGGTGAGATTAGGAGGGGTGTATTTTGAAAAATGCATTGCAACATGCTGACAGCAGAGGGAAATCCCTGGTGAGTTTGGTGCAGGGCAGTGGGAAACAGCATTGCATTCTGGGAAAAGGGCCGCCCTGCCTCTGGATTTCTAGGCCAGCTGAAAGGGATTCTGGGAAACACGCATAACTGTGAATGCGAATCTGGGATCATTCTTGTGTTTCTAACTGCCTGCTCTTCCTCTCTTTACAGGTAAAGCGCTACTATCCCGCCGAAGAGCGCAGCTACGTCAAACACCTTTTCGTTATCCTTCTCACTATCATCTTCTTCCAAGTCTACAGCGCTGAGGAAGAATTCGCTGTCTTGGACGCCTCCCAGAATGTGGAGGAAAACGTCTCTGTCTGCTCCACAGAGATGAGGGGATCCCAGGAGGAGAACCTCCTTGAGCAGCTCATCGTGGCCTCCTTTGAAATCGAAGAGGCAGCCAACAGCACCGGTTGGGACTGGGGAGATTGGGAGGCAGCCGAATCTGCCATCGACATCACTCAGTTTTTGGAGCAGAGGCCAGCTGCTTTCTGAAGACCCCCAAGGGGCGAGAACTGTGAGGGGGGAGCCCGGGCTGGAGTGCTCACATCTGGCTTGAGAAAAAGCAGAATTCAAGCCACGAATGAGTTAAACGCCGTTTGAAACACAGCCAGCTCCTTCTGGCATTCCGGAGCAATTTTGCTCCAAACCCAGCAAGACTGACGTCAAAAGAAACTTGAACCAACACTACATTTTGAACGGAAAGGGGAAGGTTTTGTGTTTTTATTTAATGTTATTTTATTTCTGCAGCAGATCAGACATCTGGCAGGCAGAGTGAAGGATGTTAATTTAATATTTATTTAATTAATAATAATAATTATTAATAATAATATGTATAATTTAATGTGTTTAATTTAAACTGACTTAATTTAAATCTGCATGAAACTGGGAGTTTGCAAGTGAAAATGCTGGCTTACACCGTTGGGCTGAAATAAAAACACACACAACTTGTCATGTACGTCTTTCTCTGTCGTGGCCGGACATAATCGTTTTAGAGCTTAAGTGGGGAAACATTTTAAAAAATTATGACGGTTAGGAACATTGGAGGATGGTGCTATGGTGTTCTTAGCTGGTTTGGTGGGGAAATTATTAGTGTGACAGCTTTGAGATTACAGAAAATCAGATAGGTAACAACCCTCCCACAAGCTCTGACATTTTCTGAGGCTGATGGGGGAAAAAACAAGCCACAGCAATTCTGGCTCACTGACAGAGAAGGACACAGTGAAAAGGAAAAGCAAAGGCATCATAGGAGACTTGACTTAAAATTTATTCTGCTCCGGATATTAGCCAGCGGTGTTTGCTTACTGTGTAAGCATGCTCTCAAAAGCAGCGACCACTTCCACACCAACGTTTCCGAAATTGCAGTAGATTTCTTTTGTGAATTGCACTTGTGCGTGTCCACGCTATTGCAGATGAACTGTCTGAACTCTGTATGTTCTGTGAACAAAAGTGAATAAATGTTTTACATGAGACACACTTTTTTTTTTGTCTGACTGACACTTTTGTCAAAGTGTTGTGGGAGGAGGATAGCCCAGAGGGCTAGGAGATATAACAGAAAAATAAAACAGATGACCAAAGAGGGGCTTCTGGGCTGCAATTCGGGGAGAAGAGCATTTGCTAGCAGTTCCAGGTTCAATCCTCAACATCTCTGGGTAGTGTTGGGAGACATCCCTGTCTGAAACCCCAGATAACTGCTGCCAGTCCGTGTAGACAACACTGAGCTAAATGGACCAGCTCAGCATATTGCAATTTCCTTGGGTCAGAAGGGATTTAAAGGTCTTCAAGACCCTGGTCAAGCGCTATAGCCTAGCAGTACTTCCCTGTTACTACATAGGTGTGAGTGATAAGCACCAAGATGGGAGATTTTGGGTGGTATCCAATGCACTCGTTCTGTCACTGCAAAGACCTTTAGCTGCTCAATGGGACTCCCCCACTCCTTTCCCCCAAATTGCTCCAGAGTAGGCATAGGCAAACTCAGCCCTCCAGATGTTTTGGGACTACAATTCCCATCATCCCTGACCACTGGTCCTATTAGCTAGGGAGCATGGGAGTTGTAGTCCCAAAACATCTGGAAGACCAAGTTTGCCTATGCCTGCTCCAGAGGGTTAGGGGGTGGGAAAATCATTAACTGATTTGGGAGGGGCGCAGGAAGAAGTCAATTGCACAGTTAAAAGTTATTGTGCTGATCAAGAGGGTATGTTGTATTCCACCCTCTGCTTCCGTAGGCAGTAGCATCGGTAATGCCACCAAGAATTGTGCTAGGTACATTTCTTATTTTTAGGAGTAGCTGAATGAACCCAAGAAGAAGAAGAGTTTGGATATGATATCCCACTTTATCACTACCCTAAGGAGTCTCAAAGCGGCTGACAATCTCCTTTTCCCGTCCTCCCCCACAACAAACACTCTGTGAGGTGAGTGGGGCTGAGAGACTTCAAAGAATTGTGACTGGCCCAAGGTCACCCAGCAGCTGCGTGTGGAGGAGCGGAGACGAGAACCCGGGTCACCAGATTATAAATTCACTGCTCTTAACCACTACACCACACTGGCTCTCATAAGAAACGGCCAAGAAAGGCTCCAATAACAAACCCAATTAAACATAAGGCTCACGGCTAACTAGCTCTTACATATTGTATCAACACACTCTATCAGGAGCAAATGAGAGGCTGTGGTCAAGTTGTGTGCAGAGTAGAGGGCTCTGGTGACGTACGTATCCTTCAAGGAGAAGCATAATCCAGGGAGTTTGTTACCAATCCGACCATGGGTGTACTTAGGGTGTACCTCCAGGCCGACGCCATTTTGCAGGAAGAATTCAAGCACATGCCATAACCTTAGGTTTGCACTGTTAACATGGGTTAAAATGCTCTGTCAGTCTAGTGGGGGTGGGGGGGAATTCCACTTGCCAGAGGGCGGGGTGTCTGTTTGCAGGTTGGAAAGTTACAAGGAAACGTGTTGAAAAGTGTGGGGGTGTGTGTGTGAATGAACGATTAACAGGAAGACATGCTAACATCCTGCGAGAAAATCATCAGGACCGCTCCTTGCCATATAACTTCCCCATAACCAATCAGGATGAATGCTCAATAAAGGCCAGATATAGATCAAATTTGCACCATACATTTAAAGCACTATAATACCACTATAAACAATTGTGGGTTCCCCCCCAGAGAATTCTAGGAGCTGTAGTTTGTTAATGGTGTTGACTGTTTTTTTTCTTTTTTTCTTCTTCTTTGTATAGCATTTATTTGAACAGCCAACCACTGGTGCCCACCCTATCCCCCAACAGGAAGAGGAAGAGTAGGAGTATTTTAGGGATCGTTGTCTGCATTCATGTCACCATCATCTGATTCTGCCCCAATCTGAATGGTATTTGTAGAGACCACCACAATTTCATCTCAGCACTGTAATTTAATACTACGACACTGTTAGGAGTAGAAACCAAAAACTTTCAAACATCATAGCCAATCAGGCCACGTTTGCCTATGATTTCGCCGATGTAAAACCACATTAGCACTTCAGTAGCCACCAAGCCGTTCCTCAGAGCTTCCTTGACAGTGAGCTGTTTGATGCGACCAGTCTGCATGCTCTTCACCAATCCTTTCATGCCATCAATGGCCTTAGGAATTTCAGCAGGAGTTGGGGGAACCAATTCAACTTTAGCATAGTACAAAAAAGTGGCCAGGCGAGGCTTTGAATAAGTGATAGCAGCAGAAACAAGCTTGGGCCCTTGGGTGGTGATGGCCGTCACCAGCTTCTGCGCAGCCTGCGCCATCCCGGGAGCGAGCAGCGGACGGAGGAGGACCGGAGAGGAATGAGGAGGAGGAACAGCGGACAAGCAGCAATGGTGTTGACTGTTGTTTAGAAGACCCCTGTTCCCTTTAGGTAAAGGTAAAGGGACCCCTGACCATTAGGTCCAGTCGCGGACGACTCTGGGGTTGCGCGCTCATCTCGCTTTATTGGCTGAGGGAACCGGCGTACAGCTTCCGAGTCATGTGGCCAGCATGACTAAGCTGCTTCTGTCGAACCAGAGCAGCACACGGAAACGCCGTTTACCTTTCCGCCAGAGCCGTACCTATTTATCTACTTGCACTTTGACGTGCTTTCGAACTGCTAGGTTGACAGGACCTGTTCCCTTTAGAGAGCCACAATTCCTATAATAGTCTAAGAACATCTAGTTTATTGTGGAAACTTGTGCCAGACTAGGCTTTTGGGGACACCCACTTCCCATAAACTATTGTCTAAACTGGCAGGCCTGTCAGTATATGGATATATGTGGATTTAGGGTGCTAGGCTGTCGCTCAGAGTTCCCCTGAGCTGCCCACAGCTTCAGTGTCACTCGTATACTCTTGTGGGGGAACCAAGATGACTGAGTGGTGAAGCACCCATTTCAAAAAGGTCATATCTACCCTGCTCTTCCTTCGGGGAGGTAATGACCCAACGGCCTGTTTTATCCTCTCATCCATCTTGTGAGGCAGAAAAAGCTCACTGACTGGCTGAAGGTCATTCCGTAAGCTTCATGAGTGGGTGGGGATTTTTTAAAATTATTTTTACCAGGGTGTCCCTGGTCCTAATCTGACATTTAACCACGACACCCTGCTGTCTCATCCAGCCCGTTTTGTTTTTTTATCAGTTGAGCAAAAACTATGGGGAAATAATACTTGATTCATATTTCTGGTGACTTGAGAGCTGATTGTTATCTCAGGGCAAAGGAAGGTTAAGGCCTCTAAGGTTACACCCATACCATACATCAAAAACACATGTAACACACATTTAAAGCACACAGCTCCCCTTTCCCAAAAAAAAATAAAGCCTGGGAACAGTAGTTTTTTTACCCATCACAGCGCTACAGTTCCCAACACCCTTAATAAACTACAGGATTATTTGGGGGGAAATCACGTGGTTTAAATCTTTTAATCTTGGCTTACCAGGGGTTCAAAGTTGGCCTGTGAGACTGTTTCCCCCAAACTACAGCCGCCTGGTGTGTGACATCAGATATGTGGGTGTTGAGACGCAGCTGCCAAAGCACAATCAGTATTAAAGTGCACACCCAGTTGGCGAGTGGAAGCAGGTTTCAGCTGATGGGCGGTAGAGCCAAAACCTGCTGAATCAGGTGTGCAAGAGAGTTCCCTGCAAGCAACTCCCTCGCACACCTGGTGAGCGTGCCGAATTGAGCATTGAAAGGAGTTTCCTGTGGTGAACACCTTAGCACAGCCAAGCAGCTTAGCACAGCTGCTGTGTGTGGTGCCCCGAAGTCCCAACCTCAGCACACAAACATGTAGCAAAGTATAACATGGAAATAAAGGCGATCAGACCATTAAAATGATGCCCTTGTGAGTTATACAGCTTCCCTCTTCCTCCAGCATAGGAAAAGACCACACGTTTGGTAAATTAACCATTGGTTTACTCACAAAGCCTTCAAAGGTCAGGTTCGTGTGATTTTCCATACATCATTCAGTAAAACTGTCTTAGTCACAGTGGTGAAAGTTTCAAAGAGCGTGGAGGCGTGACCTAGCTAAACCCGGCAGGACAGCTCACTCTATGGCATTAACCCTTTCGTGTCTTGACTACACCTTTTGCAACTAGGATGGTTTTGAAAGAGGCCACTATGACAACAGGACACCAGACTGAATAGATCTTTAGGCTCTTCTTATGGTTTTATTTGACGCTGACCCCCTCCCCAAGGTAAAATATATATGAAACCAGCAGGAAAGAAGCCTTGATGGTTGACAGCCCCATTTGTACTCCACCTGAACTTGAAAAGGCAAGCCAAACAAATCCTAATCCCCTCTTGGTGATTAATCATCTGGATTAAACGAGGAAACAAAATAGGGTGATATTTTGGTGAGGATGACGCTGTGTAGATGTTACGGGGGAAAGTGCAGGCAGGAGAAGCACCAAGAGCACAAATGAACTGCAGTGCGGAAATTCCCTTTTAAAAAAAAGATGAGGAGTTATCAGGCTGAGCAAATCCTGTCAGATGCAAGGGACACGTCATAGCCCCACCATTTTGAGGGGAAAAGAGGAAGAATGTTAAGTTCCTCCTTGAGGCTTCAGTGAGAGGCAAAGGAAGGGAAGGAAAAGGCATATTTGAGGTTTGGTGGTAGTGGCAAATAATAATAATCAGGAGCAGATATGCAATCTGGAAACAAAAACGACAGTTCATTGTGTACTTCATTCTAATTTGTGATGAGGTTTCCAGTTGTCTCACAATGGCAGCCCCATTCAAAGCCCTTTGGCAAACGTAGGCCCATTTCTCGCCTGGGACCGACAAAGTGACACGTTGTGCAATCACCCTGCCTTTTGTGTGTGTGCAGTGACCTGAGACCAGCGTGTTATTGTGGCGAACCTGCAACAAAACCAAGCGTGAAGCTGCCCTATGACATGCGTTTAATTTGGATTTCAAAAGCTGTCATCAGCCTTGGATTTCCTCACCACATTTCTGTGGCGAACGTGTGGGTGAAAGGAAGGCACGTTGCCACACCAGATATTATGGGCTCCTCTCTCTTGCAACACACAAGCCCCATCGGCACCATACATTTAAAGCAGTATCAAATATTGAAAACAATTCCTCTCCTGCCATTTCCAGGGTCTGGCATTCAGAAGCTTTGCTGCCTCTTTGACTGTAGAAGCAGAGAGCATAACCATTGTGCCTAGCAGCTTCCAGGTGGCTTGTTTGTTGAGCATCCATCCAGATTTGTTTTCACAAAGCTCATGTGGACGTTGTACAACACCCACTATTCACTGAGCAGTCACATAGCTGTCAAGCGTCCCTTATTTGGCGGGACAGTCCCTTATCCCAGCGCCATGTCCCGCTGCTGTCCCTTATTGATGATGTCCCTTAAATAATTAAATAAGCTACTGAAGGTAATGGGGCCCTTTCTATGTCCAGCTGTGCTTTGTCAACAACAAATTGTTGCTTCATTTTTTTTTTTGGTGTTGAATATATGCTATATGGTAATTTATGGACCTAATAGGGATCTAAAGCCATTTGCATGCAACAAAATATGTATTTTATCAAAGTAATTGTTGATCCCTTATTTTGGCTGCTGATCCCTTATTTTCGAGGCTGCTGGTCCCTTATTTTCAAATCTGTAAATTGGCCAGCCATTCCCTGTTCACCATTCGGCCATCTTTGTTGTTTTCTGAATCTGATGAGGTAACAGGAGGTGGGGGGGCAATACCTGTGGAGCAGATATTTCTAAGCCTGAGCTGTGTGCTTTTGGCCTTGCACTCACAGCTTTATTTTACTAAACACCTTGGAGCTTCTTCCAAAGAAACAACAAGATTCCCACCAAAATAATCTCATTAGGGACGCTTGCACAAGAGACATCAAATTAAGTCATCCAACCCACTGAAACTCTTAAGACACCTCTTTTATGGAATGCATATGTGATTTCTTCTTGAAAGTCGTGAGAAAGTGGTGATTTATTTCTTCCCGTGGGACGTTTGGTGAGAATGTTGCATCTCTCTCAGATTAGAGACGTGCAAGTAACAATATGGGAAATTGGCAATGTTATCAATGGCTACCAGCTACATTTCTCTGATGAAAATAGGGATGTCCTGCTCTATTATTATATTATTATTATTATTATTATTATTATTATTTTACCATCTGACTGGGCTGTCCCAGCCACTCTGGGCGATTTCTAAGATATATAAAAGCATAATAAAACATTAAACATTTAAAAAAAACAAACACTTCCCTATACAGAGCTGCCTTAAGACATTTTCCAAAGGTTGTATAGTTACTCATCTCCTTGACTCGGGGGGGGTGTGTGCATAACTCCATACCCTCCAACATTTCTCCGATGAAAATAGGGACGTCCTTCCATGCCCTCCAACATTTATCAGGCGAATCTAGGGACGTCCTAAGGAAAAGTGGGACATTCCGGGATCAAATCAGAAACCAGGATAGCTTCTGTAAATCTGGGACTGTCCCTGGAAAATAGGGACAGTTGGAGGGTTCTTATGTGCTTACGTTCTTAAGCAGCCCTCCTGTAAAATATGTTCAATGAAAGGAAAGTCATGGGAAATTATGATTCGTGGAAGGCTTGTTAACTGTGAGCTGTCTGCCTGTGATGGTTTATGTACACGGTTCTGCCCCTTCTCTTACTCTCTATTTGTTAATACTGTCACATTTTTTTGTCCCAGGGCACCCTTACCCCCAAGTAAACCCTTAAGAGAAACCACATGGTGCAAAACAGGAAGGAAGGCACCAGAGAAGGAAGCCAAAGGGGACGCTAGGAGATGAGTCTGTGCAGAACAGAGGAAATGAAAAAAGGGTGCAAAAGTAGAAGGGAAATGGGCGACGTTTTGAACATCGGATGATGTCATATCCACACTATGATACCACTTTAAAGCACTGTTATACCACTTTTAACAGCCACAGGCTATGCACACCATCGGCTGTTTTCAACCAAGTTGTACCAAGAGTCGAACTGAGGAAATTAATTAACCTAAGTTGGTCAGGTCTACTAACTTTAATAGGTCTACTCTGAACAGGACTCACATTGGAAACAACCCCATACATTTAAAGCACACCCCCAGCTGAATCCTGGCGTCTGTGGTTTATCCCTCCCAGTGCTACAATTCCCAAAATAAATAACAAGCTGCAGTTCCCACAATCTGGAGGAAGGCCATGGCGCTTCAAGTGTGTTGAGCTGTAAGTAGACTCACCAAAATGAATAAACTTAGTCATGTCCATTAATTTCAGCAGATCTACTTAATAATAATAATAAAAATAAAAATAAATAAAAAAATTATTTATACGCC